CACGTTTCACTTTTCATAATAGTCAGCTACTAAAATTCCAGAGTCGGCGCTCAGTGCAGCTCTGTGCGAGACGTTCCCACCAGAAACATGAGCAATGATCTTCTCCACACACACACACACACACACACCCACACACACACACAGTGACTCGTTCACTCATGCTAAAGCCAGCAGAGCCATAGGTCATTCGTACTTACACATAAACACTCCCACTGGTGGAAAATTAAAGGCTGCACGGTGAAGCCGCAGAGCAGAGACAGATTTGAGCAGAGCGATAAACGCAGGACTGAAATCTGGGGCGAAGCCGTCAGGATTTAACATCTGGTTGCCGCGCTTGTGTGCAACGCTTATCACGTTAGATAAGTCTCACACTTTCACACTGCTGATACATGCAAACTGGAAAATCACACACATACACACACAGCTATGCAGCGTTAGTAAAACTCTAATCTCTAAGTGTTGTGAAAGATTCAGTGAAAACTCCCTCCCAAAAAAATCACATTTTGTTTGAATTTATTGCACATTATCATCCTGATGTTGTCAAAATGTAACACATACAATCCAACAACTATTCAAAGGCTCCCTGCACCCCCGCCCCGCACCTGTAAATGATGGATGGCTTCACGTGCACTGACCGTCGAAGCTAATACGCAGGAATGTTTCCGCACTTTGATCTCCTCCACGCCCGCTGGTTGGTGGTGAAGCTGAGGAACTCGGCGTGCATTTGTACAAACACAGTCGGACGCAGGTCCACTACAGACGGTCAGACGAGCCGTCAGCCATGGTGTTGTTTCAGGGATGTCAGCTCTTGGACTCCTGCTGTGGTCTGCTCATCATCTCACCAGGGGGCTGACACTGGAAGAAAGATGTTTCGACCCTGAGGAAATCCATTTGCAGTATTTCGTGCAAGTGAACCATGAATATATATATATAGTATTTATAATTAAAAAAACTATAACATCTAATTGGAATAGATCATCGGCTTCAGTGTGACAGGCCAATTACAGACAATAAATATACAACAGTATAAATAAGCCCAGGCTCCACTGAAGTTTAACATTAGCCTCGGTGACAATGTTGTGAGAGACAATGGCTGTTTATCTCTGCGGACATCAACACTGCATACGTCTACTTCCTCCCACACTGAACAACTTCACATGTGATTAAATCTCAGTGTTTCCCTTCAGCATCTCAGCAGCTTTACGTCCAGACTCTCCGTGGATCTCCATCACCGTCATCACCACTGGAGTACGGTACGCTGAGATCAGAGGTCGGCCGCAGCTAATGACTCCACGGCTACTGTTTAATCTACACTGGTCCTCCAGGACGGAACCATTCATTTTCATGAAAGACTTCCAGTACAGTCCAGTTCTCTGAAAGCCCTTCAAACGGTGAATAATTGAGTGGAGTGCTCAGCTGCTCATTCTCTGCAGGGTGATGCTCTCATTAAGTGGCTGTTTGCAATCCGACACACAGATACACACAAATGGCTAATATATGGCTCATATATGTCTAATCCCAGTCCTTTTTGAAACTGAGAGCTGCTTCACGGACACTTAGCAATATGAAGAGCTACTTGTTTGATACAGACTTCCTGAACAATGTCATAATAATCAGTTCTGGGACATATAATGCTAGACACTCTTCTTACCATCGTCATTGCACCCATTTGAATATCATTACAGGTGGAACTGGTTCAAAAAGCACAGTAACAGTACAATTGTTGACCCTCTTGTTGACTAGTTTTATTTTAGAACATACCCCACGGGCAACTAAGGTAGTCCAGGGGGGCTACCAGGTGACCCCGGGCCCTATGTTGGTGACCCCTGCCTTAGACTGACTCTAATCTAACTTAAATTCTCGTCCTAAATCCAAAAATAAACAAAATTCAACATAGATCTATGGAGATCTGCTCGATGAGGAAAGAAAGTCGACAACAGTGGTCTCAAATTGAGTCCCAAAAGTACCATGAACAAACACACACTCACACAGTCTTACAAATCCATTTCCTCCCACCACCTGTCTTTGCCATTTTAATTTCTCTTTCTCCCAATTTTCCCATCATCCCTCACCCACACGTCTCCCTGCTGGGGTTTTTCTTCACCCCACTTTCAGTTATGAAATGAAAGACTGCTCACCATCACTGATCAATCCTCAACACCAATCACTTCACACGCACCAACAATAATCCCACTGGTCAACAGAGGTCAGTGTCTCCAGCCTGAGGTTTGTTACCATCTCTTTAAAAACACATGGATTTTTGCTCTTCTTCTACTGCCAAACTCACCAAACTTTTTTCTGTAGCGCCCCCTTTTGAAAATACAGACACACTAGGTTGTCAAAAAAAGGGGATGGGGGAGGCTCTAGGGGCCACGATTAAGAGGGGTTCAGGAAAGAAATAAAGACATGAACAAATAAAAACATTATTGAAACTCTTTGCTTTACTGGGAGCCCCGGTCGCTTGGGCTTCCTATATGGACCTGCCCCCCACTTTGGGAACCGCTGCTATACAGAGATTCTGACCAAAGTGGACCAACCAGACTGTCTCAGCTGTCTCTTCACATTTGCGTCTCTTTGGTCTCCCACCCACCAGGAGACATTTCTCAGCAGTGTAGGAGTGAGAAATCCAGACACTGTAGTAGTCCATGTATTTCCACTCTGAAGCGGAGTACAGGAGTACTCTGAGTATGACTTACAACATCTGCTGAAAAGTTTCATCATCAGGTCACGAGGTTAAGATTTACTTTCTGACAATTAGCAGAGAGACGTCATCGTGGACCAATGAACAGAAGTCAGATGAACCCATGTGACCCAGCAGTTTCCCACTGGCCCAGATCCTGAGACTGTGACTCAGGCTTTTTTTTTTTTTCGTCCTCTCTTCTCTACCACTGAGCCAAATGTGCTGTGAATAATTCATTGCAGTGAAAATGGAAATGTCTCAGTGAACTGAATAATGGACAAATGCTGTGATTTAAAACCACCACATGATAAAAATATCTCTCATTTTGGAGAGTGGGGGAAGTGGGCAATTACCTTTCTCTGACCCACCTCTCACCTTCACTCACCGTGTGCCTTTTCCATACACACTAATTGTTTAATGTGGCCCAGATCTGGACTGCAGGTGGGCCGGTCAGACTTCTTCATTACTAGCTAGGTATTACTAGGTATTACTAGGTATTACTAGGTATTACTAGCTAAGGCAGGGCAAATGGCTCCACCCTGAGGTCACTGTGATGCAGCAGAGCTACGTCAGAGAACGATGGAGCCATCCCAGGAAATGGAGTCTTCTTCTTCATCTTCTTTTTGGTGTTCCCTTCAGGAGTCACCACATCAGATCATCTCCCTCCTCTCCCTCTATCGCTTCTACTTTTACTCCAACCATCTCCATGTCCTCTTTTACACAATCCACAAATCTCCTCTTCTCCGGCACCTCCACCTCTAACATCCTTTGTCCAACATCTTCATCATCTCTCCTCATCACATGTCCAAACCATCTAAACCTGACCTCTCTAACTTTATCCCCAAACTGCTCCACCTTAACTGTCCATCTGGTGACCCCAAGTGACCTCAGCATCTTCATCTCGTCTCTAAACCATACAATAAATTACATTAATGTCTATTAATAAATACATATTTAAGTAACACTGTTACATGAACCCTGTGAAAAAAGCTAACTTAGCTAATTGTGTGTGTTTTGTCTTTGGTTTTCTGCTGGACGTTTGGTTGCTGATTGCAGAAACAATCCAAATCTTTCCTCCTCACTACAGTCAGCCATGGTTTTTATATTTCAGAAACAACAAGTCCAAGATCTCAGCTTCCTGGAACAACAGTATGGAGAGGAGCGTGGGATCAGATCTGAACTGATCTTCTGAATCAGTGCTGGGTTTGGACGGAAATACATTTCTCATGACAACTGTCATATTCATCTGTTGACACGTGTTCTTCCACCTGCACATGTTCTCTATGTTGTGTACCAATGAACGGTCGTTGGTATGGATCCACTTTCCCAGACTCTGTAATCATCTCCCCCTACATACAGACTAAATTAAAGACGTGGACGCCCACTTTCACCCAGAGCAGCGCGGCGTGGTGTGGCACGGCCCTGTGCAGAGCACTGCAGCTGCTGCGGCCTGGAGATTAGAGAGAACGTTACTGGAAACC